GAAGAGGCTTTTGTGATTCTAAAATATTACCAGACGAAGGGAAATAAAAAAATGTGGGGTTATCTAGTTTCGATCTCCTCTGACCCTACTTGAATAACTTTGTGAGAGATTTCTCTTTGAAGTACTCACATCTTTCTCAGTAAAATAAGAAACTAAAATATCTCAGGGAGTTCACATTCAGCTTTGAAAGACGGTGATGAAAGAGCTGTTTGAAATAGATGCTGAAGTTTATAAAAATCTGCCAAGGGTCATAGGCCATGATATGGTCCAAACCCGGGTTGAGCATGGACACCGACAAGTTTAAGCTTCCTTTTTTTTCTTTTGGCTTGTCAAGCCATTAACTTTGCATCACAACCTGGACTATTCTTAGACCGGGAGAAGCAAATAGCAATGGGTTATTTTCATTTTTTAGATTCAGGACTGGTTTATAGCAACATTTCAGATCCCTACTTTCCATGGAAAGTCACTGTTTAAGAGTCAGTTGAAGGAACCAAAAATGGAAGAAACTTTGACAACATTGTGAGCCTACATCAACATTCAAGATAAAGGATTAGAGGCTACACTTTATATTCATTGGCCAACAGGACTTATATACAAAACCAGACTAAATCGAATTTTACATAATCAGTTATTGTTAAGTGATCCGTAAAGCAGTGCTACTTTAAGTATAACAATTCTGTCCATGTAAAAGAGTATTCTGGCTTGATTACATTTTGTGACCCGCTGTGGAACCCAGATAGGTTTGCGTTACTTTAAAGGTCACATATTATATGTCCTTTTCAACAAGTTTAAATAAAAACATGTCTGTGAAGTTTCTAGTCAAAACTCCTCTTTGATCCATTATATTATCATGCCTATAAACTCCTTTATTTCAACCCTGCTCAGAACAGGCTGTTTCTGTGTCTGTAGCTTTAAATGCAAATGAGCTGTGTCTGACCACGCCCCCTCTCTGGAAGGGCATGGGTGGCTCGGGCTTTCTCGCTCCATGTCCTATTGTTAAGGGTGAGAAGGCAGACACAGAGGGCAGAACAAACACCTAGCTGTGGGAGTGTCACCCACCTGAGGGAGGGGTCACTGCCCTTTGTGATGTCATGAAGGGGAAATCTCCAAATGGCCTGTTTGAGCACACATTTTCAAGTGGAGCAGGCAAAAGAGGGAGTGGATGTACTTTTCTAATAATTGGGTTTTTTTTAGACAGGCTAGGCACACATGAGTGTTAAAAAAACACGTTGAAGTGTTTTTTGCATAGTAGAACTCCCCTGGACTCTTGCTAAAATAGCACTTTTAGCTTCTCACTGTGAGTCATATTCACCAAGTTACCTGTTGGCCACAGTACCATCATCTCTTACAGAGGCCTCTCTTTGTGTTGCATAACCACCATTCACAGCTAACTGTGAGAAGGGACCAACAACCTTGTCCAAATAAATCTGTGTCTAGATGTCACTGGGATCTTTTCTCCTTGTCAAAACATAACATGACCACAATCAGTGATTCTGAAGCTTTTGGCCGAGCTACATGACTGCAACATGTTCCTCACGTATCCTGCTGTGACAATCTATTTCCTCTTCATTTCCTTCTGTCCATCCATCGTGAACTGTTGGACCCACCACCAAGTTTGTTTTCAGAGTGGTTGCAGAGTGTCACAGAGCTGCAGCTTTGTTTTCACATAGTTCCTTCTGAACGGGATAGAAAATAAACATCTTTGGCTTTAGAAAACTAATTAAGCTTTTAATATAAAGTCCATGAAAGGATCTGAAGTTCAGAATCCCATCTGAGTTTACAATGCTACTTGATGTTTATATGTTGAGATAAATCAGAGTCTGTAAATCCAGTTTATGGGTTTTGTAGATTTTCCTTTCACATTGTATGTGCAGCTAAGAAACATTTTGCTTCTTTCTACATTATTTAAAAAAATAAATAGATAACAGGTCAAGTGGTTCAAACTCTTAACTGTTCCCAATGTGTGAGTCTAGTGTAAAGATCATGCCCTAAACTGTTTAACTGCTTTTAGAGTTATACAAAAACAACATCTGGAAAACTTTTTGTCACAGATGCATACAATTTCCAAAAAATCAGGGAGGCTTTGAACATGTTATCACACTTCTCCATGTTGTAACTTAGAGTTGATTCTAGTGAAACAAAATGAAAGGCCAACTATAGTTCAGGTGATATCATCTACAATGATAACCGGCTCATAGATGACATGAGCTTTGAGATTCAAAGCTTTAAATCTATGTTCAAAGACAATACAGATAAATGCTGCGTCTGAAGTACTGTATCTGTGGCCCCTATGGACTTTTACGCCCCTGACATCCTCTCCACTCCCTTTGCTCTCCATGAATCTGAAAGAAGTTTAAAACTCTGCTGGTTTTTGGATAAACATCTTGAAAGACTTGATAGAACTAATTTTCCTGCATGCGTCACTGAAATGCATCTTATCCTTTGCCTCATCTACAGTCCAATACACCCAAAAAAATAAAGGGTTACAGACAAGGGCAGTGCATATCTCTTTTAAAAGAAAAAGCATGACTTGGGGCTGATTCCTTTGCTTTCTTTTACAATTTTTGTCATGTTATATAACTGCAGTTTCTCCAAAGTAATTTTGTGATCCATTATAATCAATTCTTTGGAATATAATTCTGTTTGTAAAAACCGCTAAAAGGATAACTTTCTTGGGTAAATTATAATTGCATTACTGACCTGCAAGAAATTACAAAGATTTTATGTAAATCAATATTACACACTATTATTTGGCACAAGCAATGACCTGAAACTGAGAGACCTTTTACAAACTCTGAGAAATCCTCCACTGTTGGCTTTTAAATCTGATTGAATATAAGTTGCAACATAATTATTTGCAGGTGCAAACATTAGCATTTAAAATGTTCGAAATCAGAGAAGGGTTCTGATGATTCAGCTCCCATTTGTGGATGATTCATAGGTTCTGAAGCCCTGCAGCGGGGGGCAGACAGAAATGAGGAGGGAACAGAGGGGTGAGGAAAACAGAATTAGGCTGAAAACATCATGTCTGGCAACTTGTCAATGTGCAGCCATATTAAACACGGCCTAAAGTGAAAACACTTGCCTAGACAGAAAATGAATACAGGATGAGGTGTTGTTTTTCAGTAAAAAGTACCAATCATTTCCATATTTCCCATTTAATTTGCAGGACAAAATCTGTGATATAGGATAGGACTTTAACATTGTGAAGGAAGCAACTAGTGTGCATCCACTATTGCACTAATGTAATGGTGAGTAATACTAATAATAATAATAATACACCTTAAATCCTAATGCATATGAAAGTGTCTCCCCCTGCTGGCTGAAATGAAGGTCAAACAAAACTGCAGAGATATTCTCTAAAAATGCTCATGTGCCTTTCGTGCATCTCTGCAATCACACAGCACGTCAAGGTCTTTATACTGAATTTAAACTCTAGTTCACCTCACAAAAGGCACAGACAAATATGAATCCCTACCTATATCCGCTAAAAGTTTATAACCCTCTCCCCTGATTGTCTTTAATGCAAGTTGGCCTATCTTTTCTTACAAGACAGATGCATGGGCAATGGTTTTGAATTGGCTATAGGCCTACAAACTGATATCAAGTTCCATTTAAGAAAAAAAAAAAACTCAACAATTTTAAACTTCAGAAAAAAACAAAGAGCAATATCACCAAATTGAAGCTCTGCCAATTTTTACAAACAGGTCTACCCAGCATTGTAGGCCTATGACTTCACCAGGTGTAGCATTTCTGTTTGACTAGCCTACATGTGTATAAGCTTCTTACAGGTAAAACATCCAGGTCTCAAAACATGGGAAGCAGAACTTATAAAGTCTCATTTACATGGCCGCTAGGGGTCAGTAAAGTATAACAAATGTGTATCAAAGTCTTACCTCTCTATAACTAGGGGTCCACTTAACATAAATCTTCACCCCACACAATTAACCACTGTTTGTTGATGTTCACTGTCCAAACAGGTTGGCTCTACGTTTGACCTCTTTCAGCAAATTTAGAGGGAGAGGATATAACCATTTTAAATAGCGTTGTTTGCCAGATAGTTGAATGTTCATTTGTGATTTAATACACTTTATTTATAGGTTAATTCAAGCCCAGAAAAATAATAGAAAATCGTTAAAATCCATTTTTGCTGCTATCCAACAAAAGAGCAGGCAGCCAACTAAGCTGTATGAAAGCAAGCTTGTGTAAAAAAAAAAAAGGGCATCAATGTTGGAAATTGAAGGTGAGTGTGTTTGTTAGTTAGAAATATACTTCAGAGGTATTCCGAGTTTGTGTCAGCTCACAATCTTAATTGAATCAGCCAGGTAGTTAGGTTAGCTGTTTGCAGATTAGCAAAACAAACAAAAAAAGAGAGGGAGGACATTGTTTTCTTCTGTGGGTTTGTTTTGCAGTATTTCTGAAGAGAGGTAAAACTAAATTGATTTGTTTTTTAACTTAATTACTGAATATAATTAAAAACAAATAGAAAGCATTACGTATAAAAAAGGAGAATGAGACTTGTATAATTGGCTTGTTATGACGTCATCTTTATCCTCAGCTGTAGGCCTGAGTCAGCTGTGTTTACATGTTTATTTTTTTATTTCAGTTTTTTAATTACTCTACCATACAAATGAAGACCATGATAATGCCAAAACTGTAAATTTAACATTTAAAAGCTGATATTTGTTTAACTGCTAAAAATGAAATAAAAGGTCCAATATTGCAGACCTTGGGGCGGGGGTGGGGGGCTTCCTGTGGTCAGGTTACAGCATGCACATTATCACTTTTAATTAGGTCAGAGCACCTGCTTTTGTTGTAGGTCTGGCTAACCTTCAGAGAGGGGCTTCCCCAGCCTCCTGCCAAACAGCAGTATGTGAGCTCTCTGACTCGGACCTGTCCTGCCAAAGAGTCTCTCCTGGACAATCACGGGTCAGTATAATCAAGTTTCACAGGAACCCGCAGGAATCGTTTACAGTTACAAGGTAGTAAATAAATTAAAGATGCCCACAAAAAAGAAAAAAACAAGACAGAGTCCAGAAGAGGAAACCAAAGATGTAGAGGACGATGACTCAGAGGATCAGGAACCAAAACCCAAGAAGAAAAGTAAGCAGGTGAGTGAGTCAGAGGATGCCAGAAGATTGAAGAAGAAGTTTAAAGACAACGATGAAGAAGGATACAAGTCTGACACATCAGGGCCTGATTTGAGGAGCACCAAGAATAAAGGGAGAGCTAAAGAAAAGGTAAAAAAAGACGAGGAAAGCCAAAGAGGATAACAGGGATGAGTGGAGCAAGTACTCTCAGAGCTCAGAAAATGAGGATAACAACAATGACTCCTGGAGTAAAAAGAGAGCGGAAAACCTCCCGATGTGATTGAGACCACAAAGAAGCATCAAAGAAGCCCTCTTTGAAAGACAAGATGGGGTCAAAAAACAAAAAGTCCAAAGATGAAGTCAAAAAATCCAAGAAGGATTCGGAGAAAGAGGAAGAACAGACAGCAGGGGATGAAGAGGAAGGGAAAAAGAAAAAGAAAGAAAAGAAGAAGAAAGGTTCAGAGAAGGGAGATAGTGATGAGGACAACAAGAAGACAAAAGGGAAGAAGAAGAAGGTTGAAAATTACATTGAAATCTATGAGAATGAGCTTCGCAACTACGAGCCAGAAAAGTGGAGAACTACGAGGACGAGTACCACAAAAAGAAAGGTAATTACAAACTCTTAACATTTGAAATCTTCCAAAGTAAAGCTGTAGATGTGACAAAAAATAGAATACTCTACACAGAGAGCATATTGTTATGTATTTATGGACTGCAATTCCTCTTTGATAAGAGACATGTGACACCTCGAGACTTGAGTCCTTGATTGTAGTTACGTGATTCTGGGTGGCTCAAGCATTTGGTTTATGTTCATGGTAACATTACACGGCTGAAGAAGTATCCATATCGTCCGTATGTTATCTCAACCTACAGATATATGACACCTGCCAATCACTTATGTTTGCATAGGACAGCTTCCTGTCTTAATAAGAGCCTTTGTGTCCTCTAAAGTTCCCTTTTTGGCTCTCATTGTTGGATGTAAAAAAAAAAAGTGAAGATTTCAAACACAACATAGTTAAAACAAGACAAATCAATGTAAACATTTATGCAATAAAATGTGTGTAATTAAAACATACTTTCTCCTTATATTTTGCAAGATCTATTTTTAGTGGAAATGACATTGTTTTCGTTTTTGTGTTTGTTTTTGTTCAGTATTCTTTAGTTTAGTTTTGCATTTGATGTTTATTCGAAATTTTATTTTGTTTAGAAAGTTTATTTACAGCGTCACCCAATCATCTTTTGTTTGTGTTTTGATTTGATTGAGATACAAAAGCAATTTCACACTGTCTTAAATGGACTTCGTCGATTTTTTATTTGTTTGATAAAATTTGCCGTTTCATATTAACTGTATATTATTTATATGCAGACAATAAATAAAACATGAATTCTTAAAGCCAAAATTGAACGGAAAATCTGCAAACAGCCCCAAGCAGTTCTCAGATGTCAGTTCTAACTTTGTGTGATAAGACTTTGATGATTGATGAGTTGTGTTAGAGAGATTAAAAAAAAAACATTCTCAAAAGATAGAAGTATTAAAACACACAGCTATCCACTGCCTTCTACTGTACATGCTTACTAATGTGCATTACCGTCTATTTCTGTGGTTTTGTTCATACCATCCATCTGCTTTTTAAAACACACCTTTTTTTATGTTGTCATTAATCCCTGCAGTGTATGAGGTGGTGACCATCACGGGCGATGTGGCAGGTGCAGGAACTGATGCCAACGTGTTTGTGACACTATTCGGAGAATATGGCATCACTCCCAAAGTTCACCTGGCCAGCAAGTAAGGTCTTTCAGAATCAAGATGTGCAGTTAGATCATCTTCACTCGTTTGGGTTGCGATGAAGAATTTCATAAATAAGAGCAAAGATGAAAATTGTTGAGCATAGCCCTTGACAACATGTGTGATTTAAAAAGTTATTTTGCTTGAACTAAAACGTTGTGTTTGTTTCTCCTCGTAAACAGCACTGAAAAAAGGTATTTATTTCATAATGAACTGGTTGTGGTAATGAAATAAGCATGATTACTCAGAGAACACACTGTACTGTGATTGGTGTTAATTTTGCATGATGTTTGCATGATTTGGTCAAGATGTTTTTATGTCCCATTGTGCAATCGGGTATCACTTCCCTTTTGATTGTTTGGAAGTCATTTTGTAATTGAAGATTTTGATGAGGAAAAACATCATGGAAACGATGAAACGTTTGACCATTTTTGGATTTCAGGAGTCGCACAGCATTCGAGAAGGCTAAAACTGATGTGTTCAGAATCAGAACTCACAATGTTGGAGCTTTGAAAAAGATAAGGTAAGTAAATATAAGGACCTACAAATGTATATAAGGACCCTGATGGTCCTTTTTATTTCTTCATTTCACTTTGTTAAATACTTTTGAGTGAAGCAAAGAATCTCTGACAGGTTTAAACACTTTTTCCTGTGATGTTTTTCACTGAATATGTTTGGAAAAGTGATGACACACCATGTTCATCATGTTTTTTTCGTATGTTGCTTCAGGATTGAGCATGACAACACTGGCATGAACGCCAGCTGGTTCCTGGACAGGGTGGTGGTGACGGACGTGATCAGGCCTCACCTGAGGTTCTACTTTGCTTGTAACAACTGGCTCAGTAAGGTGTCAGGAGATGGTCTTTATATCAGAGACCTGCTGGGTAGCATGGATCCCATGGACATGCCCAAATGTATGTGTGCACAGATAATAAAATATATGATGAATTAATCAGGGCCAATTGAAAATGATTTTAATTCTCACAGAGCTCCTACTTCAACTGCTTCAAAGTGTTTGTATGTAGTTGATTTTTAAATTGCTTCTTTGGATTTGATTTTCTAGATAATAAGTATGCAGTGACTGTTTTCACCCCGGATTTAAAAGGCAGTGGAACGGATGCTGACGTCTTCATCAATATCTTCGGGGAGCTTGGAGACACAGGTCATTTTTTGTTCTACAGATATCACACGTTTCGCTCACAAGTGGTCACATAGGGCAGTGGTTCCCAACTGGTGGGTCAAGACCCAAAGGTGGGTCACGGAGCCGTTTTCAGTGGGTCCCGAATGTGTGTCTGGAAGAAAAATTCCTGTCAAAAAGTCTATAAGGCGCTTTTTTTAACAAGTTTGTTTCATTCAGTTTCTTTGTTCTGTCACGCTTTGTACCGTCTGAGGTCCAAACTGCACACTTGTTAGTTAAATAAAACTGATTGATTGAAAAATACAAGAAATGTAGGTCGCGCTTTTTCAGTAGGAGTAGTTGGTAGGTCCTGAGGCTCGACCAGTTGAGAACCACTGACGTAGTGAACCCTCCCCTAAAAACTAAGAAACTAATTCAATTCAATTCAATTCAATTCAATTTATTTGTATAGCGTCAACTCATAACAAGTGTTATCTCAAGACACTATACAAAAAGCAGGTAAAATACCTTACTCTTTGTCTGTTAACATTACAAAAGAGCAGGTAAAAGACCTTACTCATTGTTATGTTACAAAGACCCGGCCTATCCATCATGAGCACTTTAGCAAAGCAGCAAAAGTGCAATTCAGCATCCAAATACTTTTGGTCACGTTAGGTTAAGAATAAGATTTGAGATGTTTTACTAATGGATGTAGTTCTTTTTAATTTGGGTTTTAGTTTGACGATTTGTTTTTTTTGTTGAAGGTGAAAGGCGACTTGACAATGACAAGAATAACTTTGAAAAGGGCTCGGAGGACAAGTTCACCATTGAGGCACCAAACTTGGGCAAAGTGAGGAAGATTACAATCGGTCATAATAACAAAGGCTCTTCAGCAGGATGGTTTGCAGACAAGGTAAGAAAAACACCAATCAGATGTTAATTTTAAGCGTCGTTAGTCGTTTAAAGCAAACATTTTTAAATCCATGACATCATTTCTTGACACAAAGGCTTGTTTATGAGTTGGTAAACAGATCACAGAAGAATGTATGTGTTACTTTCATTTATTACCTCTTGTGTAACTTACATGTCCTATAGTACCTTGTCGTGAAACAAAACTTTGTCTTAAAGTCTTACTGTTGCTCATTCTATTCAGTCCTGCCTCTGCAGAGGTACTTAAGACATGTGATCCTCTTGTTTCCTCTCAGTTTTCTCATCTGAGACCGGTGTCCCTGTTCCTCCAATACACACTGTGTGTGAGGCTGAGAGATGACTTCATTCAAACAGATGCATGCATGCACAAGCTCACACATACACACACAAGGCCCACCTGTCGTCATTCTACCCTCTTTGTAAAGAGAAACCATGACCCATTAAGGGATTGCCTTACATCAAACAGAGAGACAAGACTGTAGAATCGCTCGTTACTGCTGCACAGACTGACACCAAAGATCACCTGGGACAACTGTAGTGAATTGTGTTTTTTGCATTTGTGCTGCCAATATGATTTACATTGAAGAGGAATATATTTACATTCATTTGGGAGCAAAAAGAGTCTTTTAGCTAAATTATTCATGCACAGTGTTGTCCTGTCATTGTAGCTAAAATGTGATTAAACGTAATTACTTCTGATATATTTGTGGAGCACTTAAAGTTTCATAAAGCTTTTTTTTATTTGATACAAAAATCTCATATGCTGATAAATTTAATTCCAGAATCAACAGATTCACAAGTGAAGACCAAGAAAAGATATGATGTCAGTAATCATCTTCCAAAAAGTAGATAACATCCAAGCCTGCTTTCCTCTTCAAACTGAATATAGTATATTTAAAGGGTAAATGTCAAGTGTTAGAGAGGAAACTAAGTATAATTTCAACATAGTAAAATGCAGTTCATTCTTTATAAAGAAATATAAACTTCAAAGTTAAAAAACTAAATCAAGTAAATTAATTGCACATATTTAGAAGAAGATGATAATCTTTATTAATCCCGCGTGGGGAAATTCAGTTTTTACACTCTGTTGTTGAACATGCTACACACACATAGGCTGAAACACACACACTAGGACAAACAGGGTCCTATGGACATGCACTAATAGAGAGATGTCTCAGTGAGGAGGCTGCCCACAGTGAGCGCTCCTGAGCTGGTGGGGGTTTGGAGCCTTGCTCAAGGGCATCTAGGAAATGCTCAGGAAGTGAACTGGCACCTCTCACGCTACTAGACTAATTTCCAGACTTGGTCAATAGCGATACTTGAACTGGCGACACTCCGATTCCCATCCCCAATTCCTAGTGTTTTATAGTCTCAGTCTGTTTACACTCTATTACAAAACTATCAAAGTTAGAGTGTAAGGTGATAACAGAGAACACTTTTCTAACTGGTTCTGAAGGAATTATCCATCTACTTTACTGAATACACCTGTAGTTTTATTCAACATAATTTGTAAACTCTGCTTTTCTGTACTTGTCATAACATTGTGTACAACTTACCTTCATCCCATTTGGGGTATTTTAACATCGTTGTTATTATTTCTTTTTGTTTTTCTTTTTACAGGTAATTGTGGATGATATGGGAAACAAAATAGTTTACGAGTTTCCAATCAATCGTTGGTTTGCCCTGGATGAGGATGATGGAAAGATCCAGAGAGACATTTTGGTTGGAGGGAGCCAGCCTACAGGTAAGTCAGAGATGCTTTTAAGACTCTGGGGAAATCTGCCTTTCATGCTCTTAATCATTAAATTTTAGGAAAAAGGAAGCAGTGGAATGTTTTTCAGTCCAAAATGAAAAATGTATTTTCTGTCCAATTTGCCAAAGGCCGGCTGTGTGATCATTAACTTTTGGGTCAGACTAACAATGTTTTGATGGAACTGATTTGGCTGATGGCCAGCTTGTTAGGGGGAGCATGTGTGCTTTGAACCATGCCGACCTGCTGGCAGAGCCCCTGATTGTCTGACGTGTAACTGTACCCACCAGGTATTGTGTACAACGTCCAGATTGTGACAGGATACATCCGCGGTGCAGGGACCAACTCCAATATCCACATTGTGATGCACGGCACAAAAGGCATTAAAAACAGTGGCAAGGTAAAGAGAAGATACATTATATAATTACCTAGAATGACTGTTTTTGATGTAACCCAATGGGAAAATATTGCAGAAAAGACTCAAATCAATACATGATGCACAAATCAATACATGCTTTCAAACTAATTTAACGAAATATGTATGAGATTGAATATTTTCTTTGTATTACAGAAGATGAATCATGCATTCTTTAAACTTTTCTTTGACGTATTGAATCCAGGTGTTTTTGGAGGGTGGAAAGTTTGAGCGAGGCCTTACAGATATCTTTAATGTTGAGATCGCTGCGCTCCTCAGTCCCCTCAGCAGAGTCACCATCGGACACGACAATGATGGAGTCAGTTCTGGGTGGTTCTGCGAGAAGGTGCATTAGACATGCACACCCACATATAAACCCTTCTATTTAGTAATGTACCGGGAATTAAGCATCAATGTTCTTGCAGGTGGTGGTGTACTGTCCATTCACAGGAATAGAACAGACCTTCCCGTGTAGTAAGTGGCTGGATGAGAAGGAGGGAGATGGGCTTATAGAGAGAGAGCTCTATGAGATGGTCTCACTCAGGCAGAAAAGACAGAAGAGTAAGTACAATTTTTATAATCATGTATTTTCACTAGCAGCAGTTAGTGCTGTCGTTTTCACTTTAATTTTCTAAAACAATTGAGCCAAACGTTTAAAACTCCATTTAGAGCACCATCATTTGTTTCATGCATTTGCATAATGACTCAGCAGCCAGTCCACCTTCTTCTACTCTGGCATTTTAGTGTGTTGTTTGTCCCTTTGCTCTTAAAATAAAGTCCAATTTCCTCTTTCCTCTTTCAATCAGAGAAATGGTCCACAAAAAGAAGAGTATGTGCATTAGCGTTACTTTTTTATTCTGTATAGACAAAACGTGTGTGAAGTGCTTTACTCAATGTTACTTCTCAGACATACTGTACAGATTCACAGTTGATAATTTTTTTCAACAACGTTATAGTTTCTTCTTTCCAACAAGATTTAAAAAAAGCAAAAAATACAAATCAAGGTGCGTCACTGAACACTGGAGGCAGTATAACTGCTCAAACTTGCACAAACAAACCATTCTGCTGACCCCAAGTGTGTGAAAAAATAGAAAACATACCTATTAAAATAATTCTCTCTGCGCAGTACAGGTAGAAGGGAGAGCTACTTTAACCTCTCGGCCCCACAATCAAACAAGTGATCATTTTAATGGGACACCAGAATCTAATCAGAGGTAAATCACGGTGCTCCTAAATTCAAGTTCATGAAATGATTTTGTTCTCCTCAGAGCACCCCTGGTCTTTGTGGATCTGGACGTCAGACATACCCGGTGCAGGAACAGATGCAGCCATCTCCTTCCAGGTTTATGGTGAGAAGGGCAAGAGTGATGAGATGAGACTGGACAACAAGACAGACAATTTTGAACAGGGACAAGTGGACAGGTTTATAGTAAGTATGGGCTACAATAAATAAAACCAATCAAAATAATGACACATCAGATAATGAGGTATTAAAACAAACTTTTTTTAAAAATCTTTTCAAATCTTTCAGGTTGAGCTGTCTGATTTAGGGACATTGACCAAATTGCGTATCTGGCATGAGAAGAGAAATCCTTTTGCAGGATGGCATCTCAGTAAGGTGAAGTCGTCTGTTATCTGTTCCAATGCACTTTTTGTTCCCTCACGGTCCACTAGCTGTTTTTCTTTGTTGAGTAAAAAACATGGTTTCTCACAGCCTTTGATCTGTATATTAGCAAAGAACAAAGTGTCCCAGAGCTACACAATAGATAGATATTCAATTTACTTCTAGTTTGCCAGGATGCTGTTGTTCTGATTGTTCCTGCAGCTGGTGTGCTGGCTATGAGGGGCTCTCGTCCTCTGTATGTGAGATATGCTGAAGCAACTGTAGCAGAAATGTATTCACCCACACCCACCCAGTATATACACAGTATCAATAACCTTTTTTAGGAGTTGCACAAGCTACCATTGAATATATTCAGACTGCAATGTGTCCACATGCATTCAGCCTTCCTAATTCAATGTCAGTTTCAGTGTTTGTAAATATGCATAGTTCTAGTCATGCTACGTCCAATGAAAAGGACGCAGTTAGGTTTTTATTCTTATTTTTTTATTTATATTTGTTCCCCTTTATTTAACAAGGACACACGCAGTGTACATTGCTTCATATGTAAAATACAAAGTACCGGTAGATGCCATGCAAACATGTTTCTAGCTGTGGCTAATTAGCAGGGACATAGACAGGTCCATGTCCCTGCCTCAACTTTAAGGACTAAAACAGAAGCATTAGACAAAAATACAGAAATAGTGATACTATACAAATATAGAAATAGACATTACTAACAAATAATAATAAGACATTAAAGTTTCCCCTGTTGACATGGAACATGTTATTTGATTTTCTTTTTTTTTTTAAGTTTAAAGATTTTATGATTGTGTATCTCTAAGTGGTCAGTGGTAAAATAAAAATACAGACACACCCGGTGTTTTAAATAAAACAAGCTTTCCACTTTTGTTCCCACTAATCAGGCAACTCTGATGAAGACACTGACAAAGGAGAAGTACACGTTTCCCTGCGAGCGCTGGCTGGACACGAATGAAGACGATAATGAGGTAGTGAGGGAGCTTGCTGCCACAGGACAGCAGGTCGCTGAACCGCTCCATGTATGTGCATCTACACATGAGCAATTACAATGTACTCTGGCAATTCAAGAGAAGATTATCAATCATGAATGAACAATGTTATTCTGACCTGCAGTGATCAAATACAGAGTGACAGTGTGCACGGGGAATGTTGGCGGCAGCGGCACAGACGCATCCGTTTTTCTGAATCTCATTGGAGACCGGGGGGACACCGGAGATCGGCAGCTGGTCAACTGCAAAAACAACGTCAACAAGTTTGAAAAAGGAAATGTGGGTACACTCAACGCATGATTCTTAAACTCAGAGCTTGGTGAAGTTTCATGAAGACAATTCTCTCCTTCTGCATATCCTCGTCATGTTTTCATTATCACTTTTGACCATTTGTTGCATGTCATTGTAAAGTATTTTCTCCGTCTCACACTGGAACCAATCAGTTAACCACTTGCCTTTATATATATACCTAAAGCTCCACCTGAGGCATGCCGCTTACTGTTTGTGATACCAACAAGGAAAATGAAGTGGATATGCCTCAGAATGATTATGAAGTTTAAGTATATTCAAGTGATCAGGAGTTAACCCTTATGGAGTTTGCATATTGATGAGATGTTTTACATGCATTACATGGGCAGACATGATGGGAATGTTGCAAAAACAAATACATTAAGTAATGATAACAAAGTATCTGCTGATCCACCCCATGTTCCTCTATTTGACACATAACGTAGGAAGGCATCAAAACGTCATGCTTAGTGTTTTTTTTGTCTATCCAGCTGGATGAGTTCTTAGTAGAGGCAGTAGCAATCGGTCAGGTCTGCAGGGTGAGGATTGGACACGACGGCAAAGGTGGAGGCTGCGGCTGGTTTCTTGATAAAGTGGTCGTAAGAGAGGACGGACAGGCTGAGGCCCAAGCTGTGGAGTTTCCCTGCAACAGGTGCATTATCTTCAGTGTAAAGTCTGAAACAAACTGTTGTAACATCCCCATGAGTGTGCGAATACAAGCTACCTTTGTGTCGTTAAATGTGCTCTGCAGGTGGCTGGACCGCAATGAGGATGATGGACAGATTGTCAGAGAGTTATTGCCATTTGCAGATGGGCAGCGTCTTTACAGTAAGTAATAGGAGGAGTCTTGAGTTTTATTCAAACATTTAAATTAAAATTCCCCCTGAAGCTTATGTGTGTGTGTCTCTTGTGCGTCTCTGTGTGTCAGATGTTGGCTATCACATTGCAGTGAAGACAGGTGACGTCCCTGGAGGCAGCTCAGACTCCGGCGTGTTTGTCAAGCTCTATGGGGAGAAGGGCAACACCAGTAAGATGTTGCTGGTGGTCTCTGCCAACAACCTTGGGAACTACTTTGAGACGGGTCGCATTGACATCTTCACAGTGGAAACCTTTGATATCGGACAGGTGACAGAGTGGAGGCAGAAATTGTTAAATGTTTCATGTTTGAGGTTGATAGCACTATAAGAAGCTTTAGAGCTTTAGAAGATTTAGTTCAGAGCCCTTTGGGTGAACAGCATTCAAGCAGTTATAAGGCATAAATTTACTTTCATCAATTGTGAATAAGAGCTTAACTTTGTTCTCTGAATGTCTAAATGTGCAGCCTTTTCCCAAAGTACAGCTCCTTGCACATATGAGGTTATATAAATGGTCTAAGTCGAATGCTGCTTTTCTTTACATGACATAAAAATATACTAAACTAGAAATGTTATTTTATTGTACTTTAGAAGCATGCAACCCCTCAGTAAATGTTTGCACAACGAAAATATATTATATCAAATTTTATTCACATTTGCATATTCTTTAATTTTGTTCCAGATCAACCGTCTGATGATTGGCCACACAAATGAAGGCATGCGTGCAGGCTGGTTTTTGGACAGCGTTCAGATCCTGGTTCCAGTCCATGGAAAGCAGTACATGTTCCCCAGTCACCGCTGGCTGGATGATTGTGAGGCTGACGGCAAGACAGAGGTGGAGATTTACCCGAGCGAGATCCTGGAGATGGAACAATGTAGGCAGCTCTCCAATAGTAAAGAAAGGCAATAACACATATACAGTGCACACACAGCTAATTTATGCTGACATGGTGGAGTCTGTGTAATAGCTCATACATCTCATGTAGTTTTCAGGTAGTAAGTTGTTGATGTTGTTTTTGTAGTTTATTTGAAAGAAACATTAAGACTGAATTTTGAACTTTCCATGACAATGGATCTGCATGTAAGATTTTTATGCCTGCATGTAAATATCCTAGAGTCAGTACATCTATACTTTTAAAAATCCTGTCTTTTTTCCTTCATCAATCTGTGTTTTCCAGTGATTAACTACGAGGTTACAGTAGTGACAGGAGATGTGATGTTTGCTGGCACCAACGCCAAAGTGTTCATTCAGATCTACGGGGACAAGGGGAAGACAGAAGTCCTCACGCTGGAAAGCAGATCCAACAACTATGAAAGGAACACCACAGAAATATACAAGGTATTGAGCTTGGGATTTATTTTATTTTTCATTTGTGGTAAAGGGATTGCCTAAATGTCATCTTTTGAGTGAAAACAATGCAACTGTTTTCCAGATAGAGGCCAAAGATGTGGGGAAGGTCTTCAAGATCCGCATTGGTCACGATGGCTCAGGGATCGGATCTGGCTGGTTCCTAGAGACGGTGGACGTCAAACATCTCATCATGGCCTTGATGCCCAAGGAGAAGAAAAAGGAGGATAAGAAGAAGAAGAAAAAAAAGAAGAAAGACGAGGAAGATGAAGAAGAGGAGGGAGAAGAGGAGATGCAGGAAGTGGTGCTGACTTACCATTTCCCCTGCTCGCGCTGGCTGGCCGGGGGAGAGGAGGACGGCGAGCTGGTGGTGGAGCTGCTGTCTGAGGATGCAGAGGAGCTGGAAGGTATGAAAATAAACATAACTCTGTGTCCATTTGTAGAGAGAGGTGTTAATTTTCTGAGTGCCAAACACACATTTTTGATGATGTTGGATGTCATGATTCAACTTTGCTTGGCAACTGAGCAGGAACAGAACTGGCACAGTACCACAAAACAGTGCAACCTGTTTTCCCACAAATACTGCAGAATGAAAATGGCACAGAAACCACTGAGGTTGTTATTTTTGAATTATGAAGTAGTAACAAGCTCATTCTCAACTCTAAAATAGATGTCATCCCACCCACAGTGCAGTGATTTCGGAAGAGAAGTATCAAATTAATTATCTGTATATATCTCTATAACACTTGTTAAATGATCCTGCAGATTTCAATATTTGTTACTTTAAAACAACTTGATACAACTTTTTCCAGTTTCTTACTGAGCGCCAAACTTAAATCAAGCCTTAAAAAAGAATTGGAAACCTGTATTAACTGTACCAGCTGAGATTTAGGGCGCACTCACACTAGGCAATTCGTACGGTGCCTAAGCACGCTTCATCCTTAAAGTCCAGTTTATTTGACTAGTGTGAGTGCTCCGATCCGTGCTCAACACTTCCTTGGCCCTGGCACGCCCGGAAGAGGTGTGCATCGGAACGGTACATTTCATTCACACACAACGTGGGCAGCCTTCATTATGGAGAAATCACTGAGTGTTATGGCTGTATCTGACTAGAATGATGGAGAATAAGCCACAAAGTCAATAAAGTAGCAGTCTTGTTCTCTGTGTTGTTCTCTGATGTTCGGACGCAGACTCGACTGCGCATCTCGAGTCTGCTCGTCTTGTAAACTAAGCACGCTTCATAATTATGTAAAACCATGCATGTGTTGTATTACAACGTTATGTACAAGAGGAAACCGTGCTCAGGCCCAGTTAGTCCTGGAGCAGTGTGAGCGCAGGCCAGCGGGGAATGGCGAGGGGGGGACAATCGTGCTAAAGCACAGTACAGGACAACTTAGTGTTAGTGTGCCTGAAGGCGATGTCACACAGGAAGAAAGCAAATGTGAATTTGAGTTTTTTTAAATAGATATATTTGATAGGTCGATTTAAACAATGCAGAGCAGGAATAACTGTGTTTTGTAGTTCTTCCTGTTCTTCAGTGAGCAGAAACAGTCTTTGGTTGTTTAAATAATACACCTTTGGCCTGGTAGAGCTTTTGTTGCCAGTCACAGGTGTTAGAAAGTTTCTGCATTGTTAATGACAGCATATTTATGCACAAAGACAAAATAATTGGTTTTTTTCTCCATTTGATTTTTTTTTTCACAATGTTTTACCCATTTTAGGACGAAGTTTCCGACATTAGTGGTCTGATTTGACACAGTTTCCTGACCAACATTCGCGATGGGCTAAAGAGGTGTTAGTAATTCATCCCTTTTGTTGTCTGACAGTCAACACCTACGAAGTGTGCGTCTTCACTGGGGACATGCTGGGTGCTGGGACCGACTCCAAAGTCTTCATTAATATTTATGGAGAAAACGGAGACACGGGAGAGCGCTATCTGAGGGACTCTGACAACATCAACAAATATGAGCGAGGGCAGGTATGAAGGCTTGAACAAACATGTCCCACTACTTTTTAAAATCAGTTAATGGTTAGAGGAAGGAATCTATTTCAAAATAATTTATAATTGGATCCAGTGAAGTGGAAACATCTGGAAAAAAGGCTTCATAAGGGTTCAACTGGATGTAAACTGGCCATATTTAATTGTAATATTTAATCATCTTAAATATTTGAACAGATAGCATTTAAAAAGAGTGGATTCCTGGATCAAAAAATGTAGAAATGCTTTTTTGAGTCTGTGTTAAAATACTAACACCTTCCAGTAGAGCTGTACAATTTTTATCTGGTTTCTTGGCGGGTATCCTGCTGAAAATTAACCAGCAGTTAGTCAAAGACTTGAAGCACTTCCACACAACACGATCCTCACATTAAGGTGTGGGTGGGGGTGCTTCCTGGTAGGATTACAAGCTCGTCTGCAGGCAAGTCACCTGTGACTGAGAGGTCTTCTGCGTTAATGGACCTGCCCTACTTTTACTCATTACTTCATCCAAACGTTTGAATTATTGATCTCCACATAACACCTGGCACGCAATATTCCTGCCCACAGACAATGACGTGTCTTTCTTCTCACTGATCAAGAGACACAATAACCTTTTGTCAGAGGACACGGTAACCTTTTGTGAGATAGTGAGATGATTTCTGTCTTAGAAATTCTACTGCAGTAGCTCCAGTAGAAACAATGGACAAACTGAATGTAGAACAATGTTATCACAGTCTTGATTAATGTGTTCTGAACACTTTGAGGACAAAATGATATGAGAAATTAAGCTTGAAATTAACTTCCTATGGTTCTTAAGGTCTTCTCTACAAGGAACACTGAGTGGTAGTTTTGGATCTTTTTCAAACAATATCATACAAACTCCTGTGACAAGATAAAGTTTGCTTTGTTGTCTTGGAAAACTAGGAAACCAATTTCCACTACCGATACCATTTCAACTCAAAATATTTGTGCTTATTTGAAGCCTAACTTTCTTCATTAAACTTTAAACTTGCGCTCCAATGCATAGAGGAGGAAATAATTGAGTATTACCGAAACATCAATCAATCATGAATAGATTTAAATACACACGAGCATGAAAGTAGATAACAATGACCTCCAGTTCAGCCAGCCACTCCTCACTTAATTAATTAATTACATGGTTGATACATCAATAATTTGAACCCTGTTTTAAATATAAAAATGTAAAAGGTCCCATTCAGCATAGAGTTTACAATATTGAATTGACGAAATGTCTATGTTTTTACAAAATAACATGAATATTATTATTATTGTTCATCAGTATTTTGACATACAGCTTTTGTTACTTTTGCCTGGGGAAAATATTCGGATACTCTATTGCTCACTTGTTGAGTGTCATCCCACCTTTCTGTCTTACCCTACGTGTTGTGTTTGTCTTTATTTAAAGCATTCTAAAAAAAAAAAAAAAAAAAAAGATTCCCAAATAGTCCTTTAAACGAATTTAGTCCTTTTTTAGGCCAGTAGCTGAACAGGACATTATGCTTCTGTGATTTGTTTTAGGAGGATGTTTTCACTGTGGCAGCTGTCGATCTGGGTCCTCTGAAGAAGCTACGAATCCGACATGACAACACTCAGTCTAATTCAGCTTGGTATCTGGATCGGGTTGAGATAGTTGACACAAAGGATGATACAACGTAGGTAAAACCAAAACTAAGTCTGCATGGATTTTATTCAGTTATCTGAAATAATATCCCATTGTACTGTACACTTTGAAATAGTTATACTTTTATTTAATTTCCCAACCAATACTGAGGAAGTAATAAGCTGTTTTTGAGTTAAAGTGCCAATCGGAGTTTTTGGCTCCATAGGTACTTTTTCCCGTGTAACCGCTGGCTGGCAGTGGATGAGGACGATGGACAATTAGCAAGAGAGCTAGTACCTGTTGACGAGGCCTTTATGAGAAGAGAGGATGATGAGGAGGGGACAGGCGCCACCCTGGGCCTCGAGCAGAAATGTAAGAGTTTTAAAGCTGGTTTAAGTTTTGAATGTATTTTATTAGTAGAGAGACAGGATCAAAGAGAGCCTTGTTCTTGTGTAAGTATTTGTGTAACTTTTACTAAACATTCAGGTGTAGACAGGAGCAAAGAGGAACTTATGTATTAGTGTGATTTGAAAAAGATTCATGTGCTGACATGTCAAATTTATCTCACAGCCATGTCTACTACTTACACTCTCAAATTAAAAACTGGAGAAAAGAAGTACGCTGGGACTGATGCCAACGTCTTTGCCATCTTATTTGGTGAAAATGATGACACAGGTACGATTACCGAACAGCTTCCTAAACACTGTATTCCTGATTGTGCTCCGTTTCTGGTTTCAGAGGGTTGGTATTATACATTTCTATATGTTCAGGCTTACATATATTGTTGCAAAGTTGGATGTATAGACTAAATGTGGGCAAAGTTTCATATCAGTAGGTAAACATATGTCCAAGTAATTCCTCAGTCTTCAGGGGTTAGTCTGTAAGTTGCTCTGAACACGATGTTTCACTGTTTTTTTCTGATATAGAGATTTTCTGACATCACAAAGTCGCAGTACTCTTTCTATGGGCTAAACCTGCATTCATGTGGTGTCGGACACATCGGGAGAACAAGTTTCCAAGTTGGATAATGCACATGAACACCTGCTCAAGTTGGAACAACAACTTGAAAACTCGGGAAAAGAACTAGGTGCCCGACTTGACGACTTGACGTTATATTCAAAAGATCTTTTGTAAATGTTAAGATACTTTTGATTAATGTGCGTATTGCTCATCAAATTTTTGCTCAAACATAACTTGTTACAGTGACATTCCACATTTTCTTTGTAGCGTTTTTTAACAACATTTTGGCTTTCTGAACTGAAAGTATGTGAACACTTTGGAAGTTGCCAACTTCCCAACTTCCCAACTTGGAAACTTGGACCATCTGAGGACCACATGAATGCAGAAATAATATGCCTTAAATGGCATGTGTTAATAAAGGCAGAACTTCAATGCTTAATATGCAACATTCTGAGTCAAAGTCAAACTCCCTGTGGGTTTGTTGTTCTTAGCCCTGTGTTCACACTGATGTGATGTAGCTTCCTTCAGCTTGTTTTTGTGTCACTCAGAGACTCAAACATGTTTAACCCCTTCCTCTCCAACCGTTAGCACTGCTAACACATTGGTGAAAAGAGATGTACATGCCCACTCATGGCTGTATATATAGGGGCATAATAAGCGATTGTCAAATGAAGGATAACCAACAGACTTTACAAACCGAAGGAAAGTTTAATTTGGCCTTAAAAAGACAAACAGATAAGAACCAGCTTTGATATGCTTGTTGCCACTTGAGATTGATCGCAAAATCTTATTTTAGATGTTTATCAGCGCTTGTCTGCCACTCTCTGTGTCACGGACACTTGCTGCTGAAACATGAAAGAAGGGGGAAATGTGGGAGGGGGAGCTGAGGGATGGAGATGTGTCCAAAGTGTCACATAGTGAGCCTTTAAGTTTTTACAGTACGAGCACAAGAGTGTGATAAATGAGGAGGCTTTGAAATTGTAAATCATGCAAAACTACTACAGAGGTTTCAAAGATTGAACATATTAAACTTGAAATTAGCATAATATGGTCACTTTAAAATACTGTACTGGATGTAATATTTACATGTCACTCACAGGGATAATCAACCTTAAGGCTTGTAAGAACTACAAGAATAAGTTTGAAAAGGGGATGATCAACGAGTTCACTGTGGAGGCGGTGGATTTGGGCGAACTGGTAAAGCTACGAATTGGACACGACAACTCGGGTAAGAAAAGGATCGACAGACTAAACATGTGCCATAATTAGCATTATGCTGTATGACACTTCATTAAACCTTTTTTTATTCAACTCTCAGGGGGTTCATCAGGTTGGTTCTTGGACTGGGTGGAGGTAGACGCCCCCTCACAGGGTCAGAGATTGCGTTTCCCATGTGGCCGCTGGTTAGATAAAGGAGAGGACGATGGGGCCATTGTGAGGGACCTCTATCCTGCTGATTTACAGACCGAACTGTACATGCCATGTGAGTGAACAGCCCTTAGGGGATACTCAGATCCATTAGGGAAAGAAGCAACGCGCTGATTGAGAACTCTTTCTATAATTATGCAAAGTTTTACACCGTTAAGAGCGTGGAGGCATTAGCAGTAAAGTATGTTTAAAGCACTTTAAGTAAAGAAGGGTGCTTTGTCAGAGCTTGCACTCTGTCATTCAACCTGTAACAAGAGTTGTAATGTCACTGTGCTGGCCTGCTTTTACACTTCACTACAGAAACAGATATCCACGTCTTGTCTTACGAATGAACTAGTCTAAATCAGGAGGATGCAGGAGATACTGTTCTGCATCCAAGTTGGCTGGTTTTATTTTCAGCTTGGAAAAAATTCCATGTCCAAAGAGGGTTTTGTTGCAGAAATATAAACTTTACACAAACGTCAAAGTGAATTAAGGAAATGTAAAATAGCTACCCAAACGTGCGAAAAACTGCAATAGCAGATACAAAGTGGATACATGCTCCAGTTGTTGTCCCAGTGTGCCTGCTGCACTTGCTCAATGTTCAGCCACCAAACCCGACTTTCTGCTGCTTCAGCAGTTCAATAGCTGGAATATCTGCCTTCAGTAATGCTGGCATGAAGGAATGAGGATGTTCGTGGGGCTGTAACTTTGTGCTGGAAACGGTTCATATTATATTAGTAAAACTGATGGAGGGGGAGCACAGTGTAAGTTTTTTATGGCTCCATAGTTTATGTCAATCCCTGGACTTTAGGGATCATTCTGTTCGTCAACAATCTGTACTTACCTGCAGTTAGTGAATGTCACCTTGTATTCAGAGCATGTAACACACTTGTTGCTGAATCCTTCATGTGTCAACCAAACCAAGCAATAATTTTCTCTGATTTTCAGTTGTGCCGTACGAGATCAAGATATTCACCAGTGATGTGTTTGGCGCTGGAACAGACGCTGATGTGTTCATAGTTTTATATGGACGTAACGCACTGTGCACACAGCAGAAGTACCTGTGTGTCAACAAGAGAGAGCGACGTCTGTACTTTGAGAGGGGAGCTGAGGATATGTTTATCGTGGAGGTTAGTGTGTGTTTGGACCACACATCCTTTAACACAGCGGCTGCACTTCTGTCAACACTTCGGTTGTCTTTTTTTTCCAGCTGGAGGATATCGGTGATGTTATCGAGAAAATCAGGATAGGACATGACAACAGGGGCTCTAACCCAGGGTGGCACCTGGACAGAGTGGAGATCAGACGACAGCTCAGGAAAGGAAAGGTAGTCAAAATCAGTTTACAGTTTAACCTGCATAGGAAAGTGCATCCCTCAGAGTTTCTGTGTCCATGTCCTTATTCAATTCATAATAGATTAATAAAGATGTAACACCTTTTGACTCAAACATCTCTCAGAGTATAATACTTGAATACAGATTCAGGCAGACACACCATGGCCCACTTTTAGATTTCCTTTTTGTTTAATGGCAGGGTTCAGAGACGACTATTTTCCCATGTGAGTGCTGGCTCGCCAAGTCTGAGGATGATGGGGAGACGGTGAGGGAGCTGGTCCCCTCGGAGATCATCACAGAGAAACTCCTCAGGGATGGGAAGCTGAAAACCACTGAAGTAGAGGTGGAGGACGCTTTGGAAAGTAGGTTTGCTCTTATTAGTGGTGGAATTTGCATCTTCTTCACGAAAACAAAATGTGTGAAAAATATGAATCCACCACTTTAATCTGAATTTTAATAATAACAATGTTTCATGATGAAAGGGGTCATGTTAAACTTCAGAAAAAAATCGCCTGAATCTGTACCTCTTTGTAAAGCTGTAGCACCAGTTATAGCTCATTGTTTAGCAGATTGGCCTGTTCACTCTGACAGCTTTCAGCTTTTTCTCAGAGAAAGACTGAAGGAAAAAAAAAAAAAACGTTTACAGATACTTATAGGCCAGCTGGTAAACCTAGTGGAGCATAAGGCTGCAAGAGAGCCAGGTATATTCTCTATGACAGAGTTGACGAGTTGAATATGGGAACTTGATTTGCATTGTGTGAAGTTTTCATATTTTTGTTTAAGTGACTTTATTTCAAACCTGTAAGGGTAAATAACATAAAATTATGTTTTTTTATTATCAATAAAGTCATACTATTTAGTGCCATTACTTTTTTATTGTATATTCTTGAATGTAAAATAGCTCTCCACTAGACTGGTGAAGCCTTCGAATTTTTAGATTTTTATTTAGACAGAAACATTTCAAAACAATTTTCAGAGACTGCATACATGAAAATAAATATACTGCATGAAATTGTACTGCAAGTTAGTCTCCAGATTTTGAAGTCAGCTTGATATAGGACAGTCATATAAACAAATCTGTAAGTGAGAAATGTATTCAGTCTTTCAACGATAACAAATTGTATTGCCGTTACAGCTCACGCATACAATGTGACAGTGAGGACAGGTGATATGTACAGAGCAGGAACCGATGCCAATGTATTTCTCACCATTTACGGAGACCTCGGAGACACAGGAGAGCGCAAACTGGCCAAATCTGAAAACAACAAGAACAAGTTTGAGAGAGGAGAGGTAGGTGAGGAAAGGTGTGAGACTTTGTCTAATCACTGCTGGATAATCAAAGGCATCCAACTGTGTTGTTTATATATAAGTATATTGTTGTTTTTTTTGCCTCCCAGGTGGACAAATTCACTATTGAGGCTGTGGACTTGGGCCAGGTTTTTAAAATTCGTATTCGCCATGACAACTCCATGGCAGGGGCTGATTGGTACCTGGACCAGGTGGAGGTGCTGGATTTAGAAACAGAGGAGGTGTATATGTTCCTTTGTGAGCGCTGGCTGTCGACCAAGAAAGAGGACAAACGCATTGAGAGGACCTTCTTTGTCAAGGTTTGTTGTAAGGAAAAGTGTAATTAAACATGTTTTTGTTTTAGCTGCTGAAGTGTAAGTTATGAGGAAAACAGATGAGTGGATTGATTGCCTGTCATGTGTCTGTTCCAGGGGTATGAAGGTGAAAGAAGTTCTGATCCATACTCCAAGAAGATCGCTCAGGCCAAACTGGGGCTGGACAGAAACGCCAACAAGAAGAAAAAGAAGAAAAAGGTGGCAGTGGTGGATGAGGGTCCAAGTAAGGCCACAAAACTGATCATAGTGATGTTTCTAAAGATGATAATTGGCTGTGATAAGAGCTCTAAGGCAGGGGTTATATCTGCTTTGACTACGTGTTTTGTTTGTTCAAATTGGGGATGCCCTGTCTGCATTCCCAGCGTCGATTTGGGGCATTGGCTGTGAATGTCCTCAAAAAGTCACTTTGCAGTCGCAAGATGCAGTATGCACATGAACGGCAGGGGTAGTGTAGAGGCAGAGATGTGACAGGGTCAACATCAGCAGACAGTTTTGAAGACAAGCTGATTAACCAAGTCCACAATTATCCATACCCGTATGATGTGTCATTGCCACTGCACAGCGACAAATGTGCCTGTCAAAGTAGCCTGCAACACATAAATTAAAACAAGTGCAGGAGCATTATGTTTGTGCATGGAGGGAAAATATTGGTGAAATGGAGTGGGAATGTTGGCACCGCTGTTGCTTTTTCTGCTCTGACCTCTGAATCAACAAAAAGTAACCTCCTTTGACTGTCGCCATGTCTGTTGTTTACATCCCAAACATCCCGTAGTTGCATACAGCCTGAGCTGTCTGGTGTGCCCTCTAGAGGTATCCTGCAGTAACACACACAGTACATAGCCAAGTATGTGAACAGCGCCGCTGGTTTTCGTACATGAATGCAAGGTTAAAGAGCAAGTGTATATCTGACCTAACGCAAACTTGAACAACAGCCTAAAGGAGCCTCTTTGAAAACAAGTCAAATTAAAAACTTTTGAAAAAATAAGACACCAGCACACAAGTTGGGAAAATATTGTATAAAATGTATAAAAACTACGACTGCATGCAAAGCTTTAAATTACCAACTTACCAAAAAGAGATATTTCAAAAAGAAATGTTGAATTGTTTTCTTTCTGAGAGTTATATGTGAGCATCAATACAATTCTTTTGTATTTACACTGCAGATAGATCAGTTTAGCTAAAACACTAAATGAAAGAATAACCAATCCACCTACAACATCCTAAAAGCTCCATCATTTACACGTTCTTTATTGTTTGTGTAATCCAAGAGAGAAGTGTTAAAACAACACGTGGTGAGGATGAATGAAACACATAGGATGTAATATGTTGATGAGTTGGATTTAGAGATGCTGGGTCTTTTTTTTTTTTGTTATCCCTTTAGACATGTTTGTCATTGTTTCTAATCTTTATGCTAAGCTAAAAAGTCTTGCATCAACCTTTTTAATGGAACTCCTCACTACAAACTGAATACGCTTGTTATTTCCGATTCCTTTAACTTAAAAAAAAATCTTGTCTTCCACCCAGTCATCCCCTATCATTTCACCGTATCCACGGGGATGGACCGAGACGCCAGCACCACAGCGAGGGTCTTTGTCATCATCATCGGCCCCAGCGATGTGGAGACAGACCGGATGTGGCTGGACCTGCCGGAGGGGAAGAAAGCCTTCACAGCAGGCACCATGGAGCACTTTGTGTGCTATGGAACTGACGTAGGAGAGATCAAGAGGGTGGAAGTGAGAATCTGGGAATGTCTCTGTTTCTATATCTGTGAAACTGTCTCCTCAGATGCACTGTGGTTAAAAATTTAAATAAAACCATTCTAGCTCAGCAATAATTAATTCCAGCTCTGCCTTAACTAGATCAAACAAAATCAAAGGATATATACATTTTCAGCTCTGCCTTCCTCTTCTCACTGTCTTTTCCTCTCTGCGTCTCCTCATCAGCTTGGCCATAACGGTGTCACACCAGAGAGCTGCTGGTTGGCGGATGAGCTGTCGGTTGCCGTGCCAACCAAAGGTATCAAGTACATCTTTCCATGTAAGTGCTGGCTGGCTAAAGACAGGGGAGATGGTCTGACTGCCAGGCTGTTCAATGTGCTGGACTCCAGCACCATCAACATTATCCGCAAAGTGAGTCACAGCAACTGGCAGACATTACTGTTAAATAAAAACAGAATTTGTCTCGTCCTCATGTGTGTCGTCTGCTGTGTACTGCAGGTTATTTATTCAGCAACAGTTGTCACAGGTGATACTCAGTATGCAGGCACTGATACCAACATTTTCCTCACCGTGTTCGGAGCCAACGGAAGCACAGAGGAAATGCTGCTGCCAAAAAACGAGGACAGGTCAGTCCTCCAACTACCCCTGAGCGTATAGATGGCTTTTACTTTCAATGACACTGTGGAACACTTTTTTTTTTTTCAAGACGTACAGCTGCTATAATCGATGTATTAAGTATAACAATGTATCAAAAAAGGTGTAATATGTGATGATGAATATATATTACCTGAATTCCCCCATCCCTCACAGAGATATATTATAAGCTTCAGCTCATTATGTTTCTCTTTTAAGCCTTCAACTTTTCTGTTTTGTTTCATTGCCATGTCTCTCTTTGAGTCACTTTTTGGCTGCAGCAGGCATCTGTTCTTTAGTAAAGGCGTAACAAATATAATGGTACACCATATCCTCAAAACCAGACAGCAGACAGAGACAGCAAGCCTAGAGCTGGTTAGAATAATAAAGTATTCAGCAGCTTCAAAAACAGACAAGATATTCCTTTCCAAAGCGGGTAGAGACTCCAGCGAGAGCTGAAAAAGATTCATATTGGTTGTGTGCAAAATAACTTGATTCATTGCCTTCTTGTTAACAAAAGATCTTACGTTTAATGGAGAATTGTATAGTTTAAACCAAAAAGACGTACAGTAACAGTGCTGATTAGGCAGATTTTGTTATCATGGAAAGTACGAAGCTAGTTGTTTTTTCTTTATTTGTATAAGAGCAAGTATTTGCACAAGACAATTCAGTATTTTGAATCTTGAATTGAGCACGTGAACATATTTCAACCAGTACAGTATTTATTGCTTAAAGTAGTTTGCTATGTCTGTCTCTTAAAGTGAATCAAATCAACAAATACACAAGAGATGGTACAAAAGTGATATAAACATATAGAAATGTAACAGTTAACGTGCAGACATGAGAGGTATTATTTAGATTGAAAGACAGACTGACTGTGTAACACCATTGATCCTAACTTAAACATAAGATGTTTTAAAAAGTGTAAAGTTTTCTATATGGTATTCTGTCTTAACGTTTCCCTGTAGGTTTGAAAGAGATCAAGAAGACACGTTCAGTCTGGAGATCGACGACATCGCTCCTCTGAAAAAGATCAGAGTCCGCATTGACGCCACTGGAAGTCGCCCGGACTGGTTTCTTGACAGGGTAACAAAAAGACTAGCTACTAGTTTTGACAGAAGAGAGGGGGATAATATATTTTGATAATGTTTTAGAACATTTTCCAGACAAATAGCTGTGCAGCTTTAGACAGCATTACGGGTCAACTAAAGGGTCTGTGTCTGCAGAAAATGAAGGATTTCTTTGAAAGACTTTTTATTTAATTTTTCACAGCAATATGAATCTATTTGTTCAATAACTATTTACATTCTGTAAAGAGGGATGTGTGGTTACATGAGCTCATTGGCATGTTGTGAGAGAGAACGATATGGTTTCAACATTTCAAAGCAGAACATTAATGAGCAGAAATAAATAAATAAAAGGTAATTAAAGTCAAATATATGCATTATTATATAATCAATTCCATAAACAGAGAAACAAATAATGCCGGCTGGCGAATTAATTAAGAAAAATCCATTCATATTATAATAATGATCAGGAAAGTAAATATTTCCCTGAAATCCTTCAGCCCTTACGACTACTAATGCTCCTCCGTTTCTCTCATTTATTAACTGTAACAGAAGAATACTTGTTTGGACATTTAGACATCAGCCTGAATCATTTCAATGGTGGTCTTCTTCAATGCCGTCAGATCCTGATGCGGAACCTGACCACAGAGGAGGTGTATCTGTTTACATACGAGAACTGGCTGTCAAAAACAAAAGGACCGAAAAGACTAAAGTGTGCGAGCTGGCTGCTGTGGTGGATGAGGAGGAGATGGTGGAGAAAACAACCTACATCATCCAGGTTCAGACCAGTGATGTCGGAGGTGGGTCGTGTGACTACTTTCCATAATACACACTATCTACCGTATGTCATAGTAGCATCTATGGACCATTATAAGGCAAATCGAATGCTCTGTATTCATCAGTAAATGCCTCTGGTGGGTTTTTCATTTAGGTGCTGGCACTGATGCCAATGTGTCCGTGATAGTGTTTGGGGAGTTCGGCGACACGGGGATGCTGCCTTTGAAGGAGAGCTCCAACAGGAACAAGTTTGAGCGTAAAATGAAAGACGTGTTCAGATTCCCTGACATACTCAGTCTGGGTGAGCTGTCCAAGGTCCGAGTGTGGCATGACAACAAAGGTGAGTATACATAACAGACAGCGACTAACAGAGGGACCCTTGTTCTCACAAACAGCAGAATCTTAGTTTATGCTAAGCTACAGCAAATGGATAAGTAGCAGGATTTCCTCAGCCAATTTGAAAAATAAATGTTGTGCCATTGTAGCGCCTTCTTAAGATTAGATTGTAAAAAGAAAAGGAAAATACACCTTCATGCTGTTTAGAATTTGTTTTTTTGTTTTTTTATAATAATGTGGACTTTATTGCTCCTGCTGTGAAAAGGCCTGGCTCCTGGTTGGCACCTGGAGTACATTGACGTGAAAGATGAGACCATGGACCAGACCTTCAGGTTCCCCTGCGACCGCTGGTTAGCTAAAAGTGAAGACGACGGGCAGATCATGAGGGAGCTGGCCTGTGCCAACAACGACTCTTTAGACCTCAGTGAAAAAACCAGTGAGTACAACTGGAAGTCTGCGTGCATAATTACATGTCATTAACTGTCGGAGATGGAGGACTTGAAGCTAATTACAACCATTTGAGAGGTGTGAAATGATAATAGTGTCACGTCTATCTCCCTGCATTGACACAGAATATGAAATTGCCACAATAACCGCGAACACGGACGATGCCTCCACCACGGAAAATGCCTGGATTGTTCTGGAAGGAAGGAAAGCTCGCTCCAAAGAGTTTGTCCTGGAGAATAAGAAAAAGAAGTTCTTAAAGTAAGAGAGTCCAGGTGTTCATATTATGTGGCCTTACATAATCTCCGTCTTTCACATGCTTTGCTTCTCTTCTTTATTCTCATCGTTCCACTCTCTGTTCACTGAGTCTCTTCTCCCAGGAGAGCGAATCCCACGAGACGCACAAAAGAAAAACTCTGGCAGACCAGTCAGTTTAAATCTTCAGTGTTCAGAATCACAAATTCTGCCGGTGGTTGCAACTTATTTTTTTTTTTTTATTATTATTCTTTCGCAGTGGTGCCACTGACACGTTTGAGTTCTCATCAAAGCACGTGGGAGAGATTGCCGGCATCTGCCTTGGCCACGTGACAAAAGACGGAAAGAAGGTGAAGAAGGAAGCGCTCTGGCACGTCATGGAGGTGGTGGTGACAGAAATGGAGCTGGGAAACAAGTGAGCGGAACCTCATACATCCTACATTATGTTATGTAAAAATGTCACGTTGATGGAGTTGATGTGAATCCAAACCGTCCTTCACGTTTAGGTATTTCTTCCACTGTGACGCACAAATCCCCCTGGCTGCCAAGAAAGACCACTTCCTGACATTTGAGTGCTACAAGTCCGTCGAGAGCTTCGCGAGCAAAGTGCGCAACCTCGTCCCCGTCAAGTATGAAATCATCGTCATCACCGGGGATGTGAAAAAGGGCGGCACAGACGCCAACGTTTTCATCACCATTTACGGCGTCAACGGTGACTCAGGCAAGCGTCATCTGCGTCAGAAGTTCCGTAACCTTTTCGAACGAGGCCAAACGGACCGCTTCGTCCTGGACATGCTGGACCTCGGGGAGCTGCTGAGGGTCAAAGTGGAGCACGACAACGAAGGCTCAAACGGTGGGTGGTATTTAGAGTGTGTGGAGGTGACCAACACCGCCAACTCAGTGACAACCATCTTCCAGTGTGGAAAGTGGCTGGACCCTTATAAGGCCGACGGGCAGATTCAGCGAGTGCTCTACCCAAGATATTAGGAGGAGGACATGAGACACGGAGAGTGGGTGAGCATTCACTTGAAGACATTTGGTAACTTTTGGACTTTTTTTTTTAATGCATTTGAAAGGAGTCACTTTAAGTCTTATTGTACCACATGTTTTTTCACCAGTTTTCATTTGTAAGTTTGTGCCAACTGTTTAGGTTGCCCTTCTTCTAACAAAACAAAAAGCCATTTTATACCATCTTTAAATAAACTCAAAAGCAGAACCCAAAGCAAAGAATCCAACAAAAAAAATGAATCCAGTCTCTTTATTCATTCTTCGTTCTGTGTTTAGTTTTTGATTGTCCAGGTTTAGCATTTTCATCATTAAACTCTGCTCAGTCCTAAACACGTCTCGTCTGCAGGAGGAAGAAAAAGACCATCCTATTTAAAATGTAGTGATACGCATGAAAAGTATGACATTGTTCTCATGGGAAATATGACTGAATAAACAGAACAGCCGGTATATAAACTGAAAAAGATGTTTGTCACTGTGGTCTTGATAGACACTTTTCTGCCACAATGCAATGCATATGGGAAATGTAAAAGTCACTCACAGCTGCAAAGGATTCAAACTAATTGTCCCAGAGAGGAAAAAAAACAGCAACAGCATCACAGTTTGGGAAGCACATTTTCTGTCTCTTTGTGAGGTTGAATTGACAGTGACATTTCAGTGCTGCAGTTTGATTGACATCTGACAAGGCGAGTTTAATATCCTGGCCTGCTAATGAAAGTCACTGTTGATTTTTATAAGAATAAATTGGCTCATCAAAAATGTTTGGCAAGAAAACTAGCATATAGGAAATACTCGACTCAGTGTTAAGTAGAATGGAGTTAGGACAGCTTGCAGTATCATAATGTGTTTTTACAGGGAACAATTTAGTGTACTGTGTGCTATTAACGTTAAGCCACAGTGAACTGTTGATTTTAACTGATGAAAAAAAAACAGGAATATACAAGCGGTAAAAAAAGATTGAATTAACTTTTAAGGAGACTAGTTTTGTCACTGAACACTCACTGGTACACAAACCACAATTCACACAGCTCAACACTGAACTATAATACAGAAAAGCCTTATTATTTGTAGTTGTCAAAGGCAGGAAGCCTATGTAGGAGTTATTTAGAAAATTAAAATGTAGATGTTTTCTTCCAGTAAGGCTTTGCCTGGGAACATGGTGGCAAAAGAAACACAGCAGTTTAATAATGTTAAAAATAGTGCTCAAGATTTGTTCTTAGAGCCATAATGTGTTTCTATGTCTGCTTTTCCTAAGGATGACTTGGGGGGGGGGGGGGGCTTTTTTGGATAGGAAGACTTTTAGGGGACAGGAAACATGGGGATTAACCAGTGCAATGAGGACTGTTGCCTCTGTGTATGGGGCGCCCGCTCTACCAACTGAGTTTAAACAGTGCTCCAAATTTCTATTTCTCTCTCTGGCTTTTTATTCGTTTATATCAGCTTTGCAAGTTATTGTGAATTGCCCACCAACGCTAAAACATATATCTACTTATAAGCTTATATTAGACTTGAGATGTTCTTCAAGCTTTGACAGATCTACCTAAATAATTTCCGTAGTGATGGCGAGAACAGAACGCAGAAAAACACTGAAAATTAGTTGTCAGCATTTTAGGCAGTTTATTTGAAAAACACATACAAAAAGATCATATACAAGACAATAAATAAAAAAGAGACAGAACAGTTTGGGTTAAGCTATGCAACTTTTTGCATCATCATTAGTAATAAATACAGTACAAAATCCACCCAGAGTGAATCTAAAGATTTCCACAATATTCACTGATCATGTTATTCTTCATTATGATTTAGCTATTGCTTTCATATTATTGATACATACTTCTACTTTTCTATAAAATACTCAAGATCATAAAACATTGCGCGGTTACAGCAAAACAGCAGTGTGTTGTACAAAGATGGCCACATCCCTTTTTCACTGGCAGGTTAATAATCAACATTTTTTCAGCAGCAAAGAAACATCTGAAATATTCAAGAAGGTACAGCATCATATTAAACACGTCTACAGAGCTACTCCCACATACACATAGGAAAACCTGAGAAGGACATGCATTAAAAAGCTTGTGCTTTAAGTTCTACTGTTCATTCCGGTTCATCAGCTTGAGTTAATACTATGGCTACTGTCCAGTTCGCTCTGGAGTAAATGGGGTACACTGTGGAGGATGTGGGGTAAGGCCAGTGAGAGCACGAAATGAAATTAGAATAATAGTAAGACCAGCCAGCGTCATTCCAATCCGATACATGTTATATTCATTTGCAGGATTAGTAGAGTATTAATAAGAAATGCACACCGAAAACATAGTTAGCTTATTATACCCAGGTGTAAAACACGCTATCTATATTGTTTAACCACAGTACACCAGAAATTTGCTCAATAAGACCAATGGCTCAAGTTAGCATGTTTAGATACTTCCCAAAATCCCACACCAAGCTATTGCAAGCATTACAAAAGATCAAATGATACCGCTCATTATGTGGGTCCTAAATTATAGTAAGAAGCACTGAATTGAGATCCAGATATAATGGAATATGAAGAAATGTTGGTAATAACATAATAAACAAATCAAATATGACGGGTTATGGGAAACAAAGCAGTATTTCAAAACAAAAGCAAGCTAATTATGGAGCCATACTAAGACAACACAGGGTTTTACTCCCCTAAATCTGCTTTCAATCAAAAGCAGGGGTGTTATGAGAAACACAAAACTCAAATAAAGAGGTGACATGAATGGAATGTAATCCAGATCAACAGCACCATGCTGGCTAGAAAGTGTGTCGGGAAACGCCCCCCCCTCCCCCCCCTCCCCCCCCTCCCAAAAAGTCAAACTTTCGACAAGTTTCTTTTTTTTCTCCTTTGAAAAGAAAACACAGACGGCATGCAAAAGCATCCCCACCGACCAATGCATAATGAGGTATTCTTTTTTTAATATTTTGTGTTATTTTAAATAAATATATTGATTAAATTGCAAAGTTATGAGATAGAGACATTAAATATTCCACCACGATAGCTAGCTAGCTACAGTTAGTAATAAATAATGATTGTTAAATACTTAAGGCATCTTTAATCACAGCATTCTATGTGAACTAGCAAACCTCCTTTTTTCATCCAGCTTTCGTTTTTTGGATGGAGGTTTCACACACAAAAAAGAAAAGGAAAAAAAAACGCAACACAAACAGTCAAGTTACCCTCCGATAATACACAAGGAAGCATGAAAATACTCGGAACTGAATAGAAACACAAAATCTAGGACAAGAAGAACCCACACCACCAAACCAAAAACCAGGCAACTCCATATTATAGTGCATTTACAAAACACAAGCTACATTAGAACAACAATAAATATGTTTTTGCAGCATTGCAGCTTTTTCTTCACGATGGTTAAAATGGACAGGGACTTGGCATATTAGTACCATGTCCAAATTGGCATGTGAGCAAAACAAAAAAGACAGACAAGTAATAAGGAAAAGAAAACAATGGAAGAAAAGAAAAAGACAATTGAAATAAAATTACTGTAAAGAACAATTGTTTGGTATTTTTCAAATGGATGGCTTTTTCTCCCTTTCACCCTCCTTCAAGTGAACTACGCCGACATGGTTCATGCATGATAAAGAGAAAACGGCTTCTATCACTGAACGTATCACAGTTGTTCTAGCAATACCATACACTACTACCATGGGGGAAGGGGGGTGGGGGACAATCATACACATTCTAGCAAATATCACAGGCAAACTAGTTTGTATTTTCCCTGTAACACCAGACACAGTTTTTTTTGTTTTTATCAAACAGCAGGAGCAACAACCTAGATTGAAATGAAAAGGAGCCGATACACAACAGAGGCGACTCACTGTGTATAGAAATCACATGTGCTTGTTCGATAGGCAATAAGGTTCTGGTAAAAGGTCATACAAATGTCAGATTTTAGTCACTCTGGTGGCAAGACTCAGGCACTGCATCCTCAAGCCCATGCCGGCCTCTCATGTCATGATCTCGCCATGACATGAGCGAGGCAACACAAAGGAGTTGCAGTTAGACACGGATCTGCTAGCAGCTCTTTGAATCCTTGACACCTCAAGTATCAGGAGATAAATGCTACAACGATGTGAGATCGGTGTCTAAGGGCAACTTTGGTCTACTCTGGATGAGTAGGGAAGGGGTGTGGGAAGGTGAGGGGTGGGGCGGGAGGGGGGGTGTTAGGTGCATTCTTGTCCTCCTCTATGAATGAGTGGGATCATCAGTCATAGTATACGGTTCACATGCACAGACACAGTTCCTGTTTTCTACTGCTCCACAATATTAACGACACAGCCCAAGCCTGCCATACAGCATGCACATCTGAGGCCTCTGCTCTAGATTATAGAGGCCCGACTACGACACTACACAGATCACTGGAAGCCATGCCTGCAGTTAGCGGGTTTAGCATCAACTCTGATGGCATCTACTAACTGTTAATCCAAAAACCATGTGAGACAAGAAAGAGGGATTTTTGGCCTTTTTTAACACAACAAGCTGTTTCCTCATTGATTGAACACACTGAATATTCTCGCTGTTAGAGCCGTGGTCGCCCTCTCTGTAGGATTATTTTTCACAAACATATTTCTCAAAAGGCTTTTGCTTGCTACACAACACTGTTACTCTGTAAATACTTTGTCTGTACTATACTCCATGACACAACAAGCGTTCAGCTACAAGAGTTCACACCAAACAACCTCATGCTAATCATTTTAAATTGTTCTGTACAGATGTGCTGAGGGCTTGGGCAGAGTGCAGCTTAAAGGATTTTTCACAGGCCTGCGGGGGAGAGGGTTTAGATATAGTGGCAGAGAAATGGCCTTAATTCAGCACACACAGGTTGGTAGTCAGTCAGAGTGTCCTCTCTCAGTGGCTGTATGGAGAAATGTACACAGGAAACACAGTCTGACAGAATCATGTGAAGCCTCGGCACATCTGTCCATACATGTCTGCTCCTCCTACATTTTACATCCATTCGACCATTCAACCAACCTTCAGTCCAGCCCACCTTTCAATGCATCAACCCCCCCCATCCCTCGTTGTGTTGCGGGTGAGTGTGCTTTGTTGATCCCTCCGTCACAGCTGTCTCAGAAGGCAGGCTTGCAGAGTGATGCAGAGAGGAGAAGAGGGGCGGTTTGGCAGAGCTTCCCCCCTCCCAGAGGGAGGCGACGGAAAATGAACAAGATCCAGATCCAAAGCTGCAGGAGTGGAC